GTGTTGAAACTTAATTCTCAATTTTGGCATAATATTAAAACCCAAGTTTCTTTTATAAAATGCTCATTGTTAGCTCACTTACTTGATAAGACTTAAAGTTAACCGCTTATCAAAACTCAAAATTGATATCAAGTTTTCATTAATTTTAACTTAAATACAAATTTTATATTGAAATTCATGTATCAATTTTCACAATTCATGGGTAAGGAGTACTAACCCCAACAAGGTAATGGAACTAAAAAAATCTGCATTTCTACAATCTTAATGATACGATATAGTGGAATTAGGGAGATGAATCCGGCTACTCGATTAATGAATACCCTTGTGAAGTAAAACTAGTAGATCTAAATGCTGGAAACCACCATTAATATAGCGAATTTAGCACAACTAATCTAATTAACTCGATTAATACAGAACCACGAGAAGTAAATTCACCGAGATAATTCCATCCAAAAAGTAACTATGGAAACTGATTCTACTCTTTTTGGACAGGAAAGAAAAAAAATCTATCTTTATGAAGATTTGAGACCATAGATTTATTACTCATCCATAAGCTCTAAAATAATCATACAAATAATAGAAATCTACATCTTATCTCTTTGATGGATACAGGATTTAAAGATGCAGCCTTCTGTTAATTGTGGATTATTTCGGTCTATCCATCAAAATCAGGATTCATTATAATAATAACAGGTTCGGTTGTTACTATTAAACAAATGTTATAGGGGTGCCCATTAGCATTCCTCTTTTCGCTATAATGCCCCTAGCTATACCTTTAATCGTATACTTAGGTTGATGGAAATAGAGTAGAGAGAAAAGAATTTCTTTATTTGATTACTAAAAAAGTTGAAGGGGAAGGGAGGGAAAATTTTTCTTTCACTTCATTTTTTTTAATTAATTTATTTATCTAAATAAAGGAGATTTTTTTGTTTGCTATCCGTTACTGATATTCGTTATTTGTTATCTGTTATCTACTATTTATTGAATTTTAATTGATATACCAAACAAACACTAAGAGCTCTTTTGATATAATAGTTTGAGAGTAGTAATTAATAGTTTTATCCAAATTGCTAAGAATAGATGTTTGGTAAAGTTATTTATTTTAAAATCATTACAAACTAAGTGTTTAGTAAAAATTTTTATTTAGCAATTTGGAATTAATAGATAGTGATTAACATCAAATCACTAGTAGATAGAAAATTTTTAATTTTATTAACAAATTTATTCATTTGAATTTTTTACTTTTTAGCCATGGTTTTTATTAATACTTATTTAATTAGTTTCAATTTCATTTTTCTCTTTAATAACATTAAGCCTCGTTTGGTATAGCAATTTAGGGTAGCGATTAGTGATTTTACATAAATCGTTCGGAGTACATAGATATTTGGTAAAATTTTTTATTCAACAGTTTATGACCATCGGATAACGATTAGATCCAAACCACTAATAAATTGAAAAAGCTATCTAAAGTAGCCTCTTGAGCCTGATTGATATAGCAGTTTGGGAGTAGTGATGAGCAATTTTACCGAAACTATTAAGAATATGTGTTTCATAAATTTATTTATTTTGAAACCACTATAAACTAAATATTTGATAAAAAATTTTATTTAGAGGTTTGAGACTACTAAATAACATTAAGGGCCCATTTGGTGTAGTAGTTTAGAAGTAACGGTTTACGATTTTATCTAAACTGCTAAGAATAGGTGTTTGATAAATTTGTTTATTTCAAAACCACTACAAACTAAGTGTTTGATAAAATTTTTTATTTAGCTGTTTGAGATTAATGGATGGTGTTTAGATTCTAAACCACTAGTAAGTTGAAAAAATTACCTAATCACTAGCAAATTTGAATTTCTTAAGTTTATTAACAATTTATCTATTTTAATTTTTAAATTTTTGGCTAAGGCTTTTAATTAATATTTATCTAATTAGTTTCAATTTTGTTTTTTTTTTTGTGTCTAATAATATTCAGTGATTGTTATATTTTTATTTTTACATTAATATATCATAAAAAATATATTAGCTTAATAAACAAAATTTGCTAATTAGATAATAGATTAAAATATTGTTGCACTTTATTTTAAAATAATATAATTTTTTCTTTGTTAAAAATTAGAAATTAGTGTGTGATTAATTATTATAATTTATTTAATTTATTTATTTTCTTATTATTATTTTTATAAAATTAATAATTTTAATAATAAAAAATATATAAAGAAAAAAGTACACTTCATTATTTTTAAATATGTCTTTATTAGTCATTTAATGTTAAATAATAACTACTAACTATTGTATAATCAAATAGTTATATTAGTCGAATCGACTGTAAACTATATCTACTATCCACTATTTCCTTTTTGTTATGTGCTACTCATTATCTACTAATTACTACCTGTCGCTATTTGTTACTGACTATTACTATCCGTTATTCATTATTTGTTACTTGCCGCAAGCTAAATTTTAACCATTATGCCAAATAGGGCTTAAGTCAAACTTTTAAAAATTTAAAAAGCACAGTAAATGCACGTTGGGCCCTCCATTTTAGACTTTTTTATTTTTTTTGTAGTACATTAGACCTAATTTTATCATTATAACATTAGCAACGAAGTGTTAATGTTAGAATTGTTCACGTTACATTATGTGGAGGTAATTTGATGCAAAATATGTGAAGTCAAACATTACTTGCAAACTCAATGGGTAATTAATCAATGATTCTGCATTATTTGATCATTCAATTAATTATTCAATGCCATGAATGAGAAACGCCAAACCGAACTATAATCTATGCATATGAAAATGACTTCGATGGCCGACCCCTGGACGTTGTTAAACTCTACATATGTCTATTCATGTTTATGTTTTCTTAGGTCTTACACTATTTGTTCATGTTTGAACCTCGAGACATGAAAAAGAAATGAATAGATTAAATCAAAAGTATGAGCTTACGAAAGTGCTGTCTATCCATGTTTATGTTTTCTTCGTTTGTTTTCTTCCTCAATAAATTAAACCTTTTTATTGATAATTTATATATTTTAATTTTTTAATTTTTGGCTACGATTTTTAATCAATATTTATATAATTAGTTTCAATTTGTTTGTCTCTAATAATATTAAGTAATTATTATATTTTTATTTTTACATTAATTTATCATAAAAAAAAAATATTAGCTTCATAAACAAATTTGCTAATTAGATGAATAGATTAAAATATTTTTGTACTTTATTTAAAAATAATATAATTT